AATTTAAAACGATGGGTTTTAAAATGAGCAGCAGTAAAGCCTCTCCTCTAAAAAATTTTGAAAGGTACATTTACAATAATATATGGATGTGAAAAAATTGTTTTATTTAAAACATTTTGACGTTTGGAAAATAAAATAAAAGTAGCGAATACTCTATCAAGGGTATCGAAAGACGTATACAATTTTAAATGTACCGTAAGGTGTTTTTCATTCTTTAAGCATAACATTTTTCTTAAAATCTATATTTTGTAGTGCAACAGCTTATAATTTTATAAAACAAATTCATAATCAAAATCGCTGTTGTTAGTTATCGAAAAATAACCAAGATGTGATTTTTGCGTAAATGTCACTAAACTATACAAATTGCTATTATCCATCACACTATGAATGTTTCTTTCATGCGAAAGTGTCCCTTTTTCGATTTCTATGGACCTGTCGTGTGTCGAAATACTATCATAATCTTGTCAAGCGAGCTTCTGAATGTAAACAAAGAACACCCCATCTGGTGACCCAAGCTTCAAAGCAGTGCTTCACTTTTAGCGCGGGTTGGCCCCTCCTCCTTTTCCTACCTCCATGGTCGTACCATCCATGCTTTCCCCATTTTAGAGAATCGCCTATCTGTAGATCTTTGGGTGGTCCATTGTCGCTGCTCAGAGTAGCCGCTGGCTACGCATTATTTCCCTCTTCTTATCAGTTTGGCTACATTTTGGCAAAAACCGCAGGTTTCGTCTCGCGCCAATATACTTGAAAATTAAATAGAGGCCATCTCTTTCTCAATCTGTCTCATAATTTTAATGCTAATTTTTTTAGTACTGACTTTTGCTATGATTAAAACGTCAGCGATTTTGCACGCTCTTTAAGCATATTTAATATATTTTAAGCATATTTAACATATTTAATGTTTTTTAATCATAACAAATAAGAATAGATTAATATTTTAGATTTAATGCCCTTCTAGAAAATAGGTAAAACCGCTTTTATCGTTTTATTTACTTCCTTTTCATACTTATGAATAATAAGATTTTATTTTGACATTTTTTTGTGGAGTGCATAAAAACCCTTAAGAACTGTTAACTCTTTCAAAGTGCTTCTATTATGCAGGCAATTTTGTCTGATTTATCAGGAGATAAATAAGAGACAATTGTATGCATAATAGTTTTTTGTGATTTTCATTCATTCAGTGATTGCTTTCAATGATTTTCATTGATTGTAAATTAAATAAAATCAATTTATCTTTAACACCCTCTTTTAGGATGAGATCTGCCAAAAAGTATTTAAATATCAGTAAAGCTCACGTTACTTCTAAACTGAATCAAAACATCAGTTAAATGTTATAAAATTTCGGCCAGTTTTATTTGCTGAAAATTCTTATACTCCTCAAGAGATAAAGGGAATTCAGACAAGTTGATAAAAAAATATCTTTAAAAAAGGTTGTTATTTTTGTCTGTAATAAGGTGTATGTCAACTTACTACTAAATGTATGAAAATTAGGATTGGATTACGGAAAAAAGCACGCGAACGCTATCTGCTTAAGGGGATGGATGCTTTCGTGTAAACCTTTTTAAGAGAAAATTGCTCGCATTTACATTTCTGGTGGAAAACTCCTCATGTAATCAACCCGTTCTTCGGTATTGATTGGATTAATTTGTTCGCTTACTGAATTACATCAAAGCGCCCAACGATTACCTGTATAAGGGGAGTTATGTTTTCGCGGAGGACTTTCTAAGAGAAGCTGGCTTGCATTTACGTTACACAAAAACCATGAATCCAACTATTTATCTGGGATTCAAATCCAAGCGAGCTACAAGTGTTCAGCCACCTTTACCGCCTACTGAAGAGCAGGTAAATATATTGATAAAGGAAAAGTATTGAAATAACCGGTTTGATTTACTAACCTATATTTCTCAATCGACAGTACATAAATTACGCATATGAGGGGGATTATTTGTGAATAAATAAACTGTATTGCACTTTTCTCCACTATTTCATATTACGATGGAATTATTGCATTTCAAAGTTATTTCTCATGAATTAATTTTTGCTCTTCATGATTTTTGATATTTTCAAAGTGAAAATTCCACAATTTAAATAAAAATATACACGAGAATATGCAAAATTTGGCGTAAACGGTTTTCTTAATTTTGCTTTGAAAATATTGCAGGGTAATCGTTTTCATTACTGGAAGAAATATAAAAAACAAATTTACTACATGGTATCAACACCCATATTTCCTTATTCTTTTGAAAACGTGAAAGATTACTCTTTCTAAAATAAATTAGAAAATATATTATGTGCAAATAGAATATTAGTTGAAAATGAAATAGACTTCAACTTTTGGATATAACGATAGTTTTAGACGAAATTTCTACCTATGAAAGAAATTGACGTATAATTAATTCTTCATGAACATTTAAAACTGTTCTCAAAATTCTTTTGATGATTGCATGTATAAGTCACGAATTTTTTTCTCTGCTAACATAAACAAAAGCCAATTTTACAAAGAAAAATTCTCGTTAAAGATATACCTTCTTTGCCTGATAGTCCAATGTAATGTTGTTAAAATAATTATTAAACGCAACCAATGTATCTCGGATTTTGATTTTTATATTATAATAACAAAATTATCGAAAAAAAGCAGATTTAAATCTCTGTTATTGTTATGTAAAGCTTTATTATTGCTGTAAGTTCATCTCAAAATCTAATTGTATTGAATCTCATTCTAATCATCTAATGGTAATAAATTATATTATTATTTCATTAAATTAGTCATTACCATTATTTTATTAATGAAAATATGTTATTAAAATCGCATTCCGGCCTGCAGACTTACAGATCTAGTCTGTATTACTATATTTTGTTAAATTTTGTTCTCGCTTTCTAATTTCTAATACGAAAACACGCGAAAATTTAAATGAAGAGTGAAAACAAAGTTAAAAAAATTCACAAATTATTTACGAGATTGATTAGAAATAGTGAATGAAATATAAAACATTGCATACATTTTGTTCTAAATAAAGTGTGCACTGGATATGCATCCAGTACTGCACATTTATTTATGCACTATTTATTTAGAATTTTGCTTTCATTTAAATATGAAAGCAAAATAATCATCGAAAAAATTGCAAATCTAGCAACTCCTCTACTATGGGACGTAGGCGTCCGACAAACATGTAAATTTTACTTCATCCATGGAGGGGAACTAACGACTTTTCTCATTAGGAAAATGTCAAAGAGGGGGCAAAACTGTTTCGGATCGCGCCGGTCTGAAGGCTATATTATGAGAATTTCGGCCCGGTTTTAGAAGGTTAATCTAAAAAAATTAATAACATTTTTGGGCTTCGTCTTTTCTTGATAAATCTATGTTACATAGGTTGCATAACGCTGATGACGTAGCTGATTAGCAACTGGAATCAAAATTTTGAGAACCGAAATCTTTCTAACCTAAACCAAAACCTTCCTCTTGGTGAGCTGACATATTGAATAAATGCGCTCCTTTATCTTGAATTTATGTGCTGCTTGGACGCTATTTCGCTGTGCTCGCTTCTTATCGCAGCAGTATTCAAAAACTTAAATGTTCTTAAATGGGCACAATTAGAGTGCCAAGCAAGTTGTGACCACAAATGTCAATTGAAATAAAAATGAAAAATAATCTGCGCGACTGCCAAATTTATTATTCATTAAGGTTCGGCATTTTAGTATTCTACTCAATCAGAATTCTTTTTCTTCATTACACTAGCTACGCGCTTCATCATCAGTATTTCTACGGCTCAGTGTTCTTTACATCAGTATTTCGCAGTTTCTTTTTATTACATCTATTTATATATATGTTTGGTGTGGCCGATTGCAATGAAAATGGAAGGTACAAAACTAGATGTTATAACAGTCCCATATACAAAATTTCAACGTTCTAAGGCTACTCTATTTGAGTTATCGAGATGCCTACGTACGTACATGCGTCACTTTACAATCCGTTTTGGAAAAAAATATCCTTTACTCTTGTTTACGCACAGATGTCACTCAAAAACATTGTTCAAATGGATTCGAGAGGGGTTAAGATGAATCCCCCCTTTTTTTTTTTTTTTTTTTTTTAAATAAGAATGCCCGAAATTTTTCAGGACTTTACTTCGTACAAGGAATTAAAAAATTACTTTCTATGCAATGTTGCTTACTTTAAACAGACTGGAAAAAAATCGCTGACTTTTCGACCTTTAGTATTACTCTCAGCATAAAATATTATTTCGGCCATTAGAATGCCGCCGTCCGGCGTCAAAAATACTTTGGCGAACTTTCGAAAATCTGAAAGCAACCATATAGGAGATGAAAGATGAGTATAAAAAACAATATAAACTAAAAAAAGAAGTGACCTTTAACACAAGCTCACTTGCTTGCAAACGAAAGGTGTGTTTTGATATGCAGGAGTGAGGGGAAGATTTTATGATGTTCCGGCAGTTTAAATTAAAACTGCTTTCAGCGTCTTTTTAATTCTTGTTTAAAAAGGAAAACAAGCATTTTCAACAGATTTCTGCATTCTTATGCGTGTACTCTCTGCTGTAAAATAAAACAAAGATCGAGATTTGGTGGTGGTCCAGATCGGTTAATTAATAACGCTGTTAGGAATCATTTTTATTAAAGGATTGCAGTACTAGAAAGATTTTTCAGCTCAGTACTTAAGCTATGATAGTGTACTTTACCTTTCCTTTTTTTTATTTTTCTAGTATTTATTTTTTACTTACTTTCTTTTCTTCCCCTCCACCTTTTTTTTGAACATTAAGCTCTTCACTTCTCCCAACTCAACTCAACTCAACTCAGATTTGGCGACCGTTATAATCGCTATCGGTGTGTAGAATTGTTAATCGTAATCTTAATGTTTGAGCCCGCAAATTTAGAAATTTTGCTGGATAATTTCTCTTAATATTAATAGATATATGATAGTATTGATGATAGAATGTTTTAACTTCTGAAATTATTCTTTGCGTACTAATTTTAGTGTTGCTTTTAAGTTTAGGATCATGGTAAAGTGAGTAAGAAGTCAACTTTAAAGTAACTAGTTCATTCTGTGGAAGGAACAGGTGAATCATCGAGAACTTGCTTTGAGGATAAGCTGTTTGTCATAAAGGAATTATAGTTCTTCTTTTAAACATGAGTCCTGTGAAAGGTCGACGTAAAAGGAAGGAGAATTTTGATCATGAATCGAATGGGAATGAAGAAAAACGATTGAAACAGTGTTCAGTGAATGGTGAAGTAAACAATACTGAAATTGATACTTTAGATTCTGTGCAAAATGAATCACCGGAAATGAAAAGAAAGACTTTGGAAACATTTCATGCAAAATTTACGAAATCTGTAAATGAAAATGGTGCTGAAAATATTTGTAAAATTGGAAAGCACATTTGCTTTGCATGTAAAATTAAAGACTTTGATTTAGTGAGATGTTCTGTCAAATCTTGCGATAAGTTTTACCACAATAAATGCTTGGAAAAACTTCCATCTGTTAAGACTGAGCAGAACACTTGTCCATTGCATTTGTGTTTAACATGTTACAATGTGAATCCAAAGAATCCTCAAGTTTCTAAAGGGCAAATGTACAAGTGTTTCAAATGTCCCACTGCCTACCATGCTAAAGATGAGTGCGGTATTCCTGGTTCTGTTATTTTAACACATGATATAATGTCTTGTCCTGATCATTTTTCACCAGAACAACAGCGAGAATATCCAGCTATTATGAATATGACATTTTGTGTGCATTGTGGGTGTAACGAAAATCTTATTTTTTGTAATTTTTGTCCAACGGCAATGCATAAGGAGTGTATTCAAGGAGGAACATTTATTGATAACAATTTCTTTTGTGAAAGATGTGAATCGCGGAAAATAATTTGCTATGATGATGTTGTGTGGGCTAAGATATGCAATTTTCGTTGGTGGCCAGCAAAGGTTTTGAATCCCAAAGCCATACCTGTTGAAGTGCAAAAAATGAAACATTTTGAAGGAGAATTTCCAGTGAAATTTTTTGAAACAAATGATTATTTCTGGACACAGAAAGGAAGAGTTTATCCTTTTGTCTTCAGACAAGTAGGAATAGAAGATAATCGTAAAAAACACAATTTTAAAAAACAAGCCCCAGATCCAGTTTTTAATAATGCTATTACTGCAGCTTTTAAAGCAATAAAAGATAAGAAAACTTTGCAATCATCTGAATCATCTAATGGTTTAAAGCCACCTCCCTATAAACATATTAAGAACAATCGTCCTGTTGGAACTGTACAAATTTATACTTTTAATGATTCAGCTGATTACACAACTTGTGGATGCCAAGCTGATGATCCTCATCCGTGTGGATATGACACTCTATGTCTCAATCGGAATATGTGCACTGAATGCCTTCCTGATGTATGTGAAGCAGGAGACCGTTGTGAGAATCAGTTGTTTCAGAAACATAAATATGCTGCCGTTAAGCCTTTTTTAACTGAGTCACGTGGTTGGGGATTAAAAGCAATGGAAGACATAAAGGGAGGTCATTTTGTGATAGAATATATTGGTGATTTAATTGATGAAGAAGAATGTAATCGTCGTATTGAAGAGAAACAAGCATGTGGTGACACAAACTTTTACTTTTGCACTCTTGATGCGACTCGCATTATTGATGCAGGTCCAAAAGGTAACTTTTCACGATTCCTTAATCATTCCTGTGATCCCAATTGTGAAACGCAGAAATGGAGTGTAAATGGTGATTCAAGGGTTGGCATCTTTGCAAAAAAAGATATCCCAGCTGGTACAGAGCTCACTTTTGATTATCGGATGGATTTTTCTCATCATAAGAAGTTAAAATGCAATTGTGGCGCTGAGAGATGTAGTGGGCTGATTGGGAAGAAGCCTCAGCTTATTCCAGTAGTTTCTAAAATACAAGAACTGAATGGAAATATAAAAACAAATACCAAAGTAGAATCCATTGGTGACAAAAAAAATAAGCGTGTATGCTTTAAGTGCAAGAAAGGAGGGAAACAAATTCTGTGTACACGAGATAAGTGTAATAAGTCCTTTCATATACGATGCCTAGGTGCTAATACAGATTTAAAAATTTCCGCATCTAAATGGGAATGTCCATGCCATTTTTGCAAGAAGTGTAAAAATGAAAAAACTGAATCTGTTTATCAATGTTATGCTTGCCCCAATGCATACTGTGATGAGCATGCAGGATTTGTTAAAAAATCTAAGCATGTTTCGGATACGAATAATAACATGGCATGTCCCAAACATCAGTAAATGCATGTAAAAATTTCTAATGTATTTGAGTTCATTTTATTAAAACTTAATTTAGTATCTTTTTTTTCTTAAATTCTAATTGTTTACAGATTAGTGATAATAGGTTTTATAGTATAACTTCACTGAAAATCTTAGATTTTTTTAATACTGTAGTAGACAAAAAATGCTATCACTTTTTGATTAAGTTTCTGTATGATTTTTAGCAGTGTATGGTTTTGTCAATGGTATTGGAAATTCTGTCAAAACATTAATATTTTCATAATCTACAGATATTTCCATTTTTTATACTTTGAATGATGTATCATTCATTTATATGAAAGTAGGTTTTATTGAGGTTTAGCAGACCTATTAATGTTTGAAATATATCTGAAGTTGAAGTCCAGTCATTTTTAAAATTATTTCCAAAAGCATTAATTTGAATTACTGGAATAGCAATTAAAATTTTTACTTCCTTATCTTATGTAAATTATCTGACCAATATTATCTTATCCGTGTTAATATTTTTATGTTATGTGTGTGTTGACTATGAATATGACTACAGTATTTGATTATTCGTTTTCTGTAAATGTGTCACTGTAAGTTTATTTGTTTAATGTTAATAAAATGTGTTTATAATTCATTAGGCATTTTTATTTATTTGTTATTCATCCACTACTTATCACTAGATTTCTTTCTCTCCCCCTTTTTTGTACAAGAATATAACTAGATAAAATTTTAAAAATTTAGCTTTTACTATATAATAGTTACATGTGAGGAAATTTTCATTTATAAACAGAAGATTTAGGGATTTGGAATGTAGTAGGAGTTAAATAGAAGTATAATGTTATGTTGAAATTTCAATCTTCTGTCAATTTCATTTGAGGGTATGGTTGGCCACTTTTGATAAAATTTTGAACTCATTATTAATGTAAATGCCAACTCAAGAATATAGCAATTTAGTTTTTCAAATGTGTATTTCTTGAATAAATTGTAGTGATTTTTACATCAAATGATAAAAATTTCAAAAGGTTTCTCCCAGAAAGTTATATCAAACTACATGTGAGCAGTGAAGAGTTAATGAAAAATTATTGCGTTATACCAATTTTACACATATGAATTATGACCAAGAATGGCTTTTGTTTAATTTATAGTTTTATTTACATTTTTAAATCAATTATATAACCTCTGCATCATTTTGAATGTTTTGTAAGTATATATCTTTTATTTACACTGTGAACATAATTTTATTCTCTTATTAGCAATTATAAATAAATACCATATACCTAAAACAATATATAAAAAATCGTTTTTCGCTTTTGATAAGTATTTTTAACTCTCACTATGTAAAATTAATGATTAAAATACATATTAAGGAACTATATATAAATGAATATTCTTAAGCAAAATGTTTGGGTAATGTGCAGAATCTCCCACCTATATGGCACGAATCGATGTGTACATGGACAAAGTCAAGGGAGTAGTGCAATGCCTGTGCAATTCTCTAATGATTTTTTAAGTGAAAATACGTCGATGTGTACATGGATACCAAGTTTGTGCAATTCTTTGACTTGTTATTTTCAAGTTGGCGGTTTTGAAAAATGCACAAAGCAGGGGATGATTCTGCACTTTTCCCAAATGTTAAATTGAATAATAATGAAAAAGTATTTTCACTCTGTTTGTAAACGAGCAGCATATTTTGAATTTTATGATAAACAGAATTATCTTAATTTCTAACCATATACATTTGATATTTTAAATGTTTTCATTCACCACATATTGGTCTTAATGGTAGTAGCATTAGCTAATTGTTATGTGATGTATAAAAATCAATTTTTTATTAATTAATTGGGGAACTACTCTGATATGCGCCCTCAAGTTGCCAAATATTTTTGGCGAGAAACTTCACGCTGCCATATTACTATCTAATTTTTTGTCTAACATTTGAACTTTTAGCTAAAATGTCTCCAAAAACGCGGTTTTCGCACTGCAAAAATACGTTTTGAACACACAATTTAGCTAAAAATCCGAAACAAAAAAAAAAATTAATAGCAAATACGTAAAGTTCTAACAAAAATATTGACAAGATCCATTACACAGCGACTGTTTTAACTTAAAAAAACATCTACAAATGCACAATGTAGGAACGAAGGAATCTACAAACTACGCGACCTCGCTTTAATAAATTAACAATAATAATTTCAACGATACCATGTACACAGCATCCTGTTTAAAATTCTGTTAAAAAAAATTCTACGAATTGCACAATATAGCCAACAAAGGAATCTACGAACTACGCACACCTCCCTTTAATAAATTAACATAACAAGAATAAATTTCAAAGAATACCATGTACACAACCTTCTGTTAAAACTTAAAAAAACATCTACGAATTGCACAATCTAGACATTGCGCACAAATCAACAAAATAAATAAAATAAATTACAAATAATTCAAAAAACTACAATAACAACATAAATTTATAGTAAAAAAACAATGAGCATAACATTCTACAAAATAAGAACAAGGAAAAAAAAGCACTTACGATGAATTAATGCGTTTTCGAATACAGAAAAAATTTCATACGCCTTTAACACGCCGCCACGTAATCACTATCGTATTTACATGACAGCCAGACACACTATCCAGAAGATTTTACATGTTCACAAATAAATAAAATCACAATCCCTCTTTTATCATGCACTACCTTAAAAATATCTCCCAAACCCTCTCCGCAGTTCAAATACCCACTACCCCTCAACAGGATGCCAATCATATTTCCTTTTGCCGAACTTCCATCTCTCAGACACAGAGGCGAACCAACGAGCTCCAGCGAAAGATTTTCAACGTCAACATGTTGCCTAGAACACGCAATTGCGCAGAACCATATCGCACATTGGTAAATTGGGCGTATATTAGAGTTGTACCTTAATTGGTAAAAGTGCAGAATCGCCCACTGCTTGGTGAGTTTTTAAGAATTGCACAAACTCGGTATCCATGTACACATCGACCTATTTTCACTTTAAAAAAATCCCAGAATTGCACCAAAATAGCATTGCACACTCCCTTGACTTTATGTATGTGCACATCGACTTATTTTCACTAAAAAAGTCGAAGAAAATTAACAAAAATCCAATTTTTTCTTACTCTTGTAAAAAGCGCCAAATAAATAAGTGTGCAATCCTGCACTTTACCCATTAATTAGCATTTTTCCCATAACTTCTCTATAGAGTTTGAAATTATTATGTTTATTTATTAATTACTATTTTTACTATATTAACTTCTTTATAGAGTATATATTACCGTTTTTAATATCTATGACACCATATTTTTTTATTTTTTGTGCAGCAGCTATAAAATATAAGAGTATTTTAATTTTGCATTAAAATAATTTTATTATTTTAAAGATTAAATTATGTGCTAATATTAGTGTGTATTAATTATATCTCTTTTACTGCATAAATTTGTAAAACTGTATTTTTTATAAGCAAGTATATTTTTCAATTGAACCATGGATTGTGTTATTTGACCAATGTTTCTTCTCATTAATGTGAATATTCAGATATAATACTACTAGATTTTACATAGATCAAGCTAATTGGATTTTACATAAAAAGTAGACATTAATATTGATTAAAATAAGTTCTTGATGGCTTATGTGAATCATATTCTGATACTGCTTGAGAGAAAAGTGATAAAAAGTGTACACCTACTTGTGTTTAGTTAAACTGTACCAAGGTGACACTTTTTGGTTCAAAACATTTTGTTCTGTGTAGGTTAGTGATGTTTGATATCATTCAACTATGTTCTTATAAATACTACTGAACATAGGAGAGGTTTTTTTTTTTTTATTTTTTTTTTTAAATATATTTGGAAGGTGCACTATAATGTTTCATTTTAATGGGATCAGTTTTTTTCTTTTTTTGTGTGAAAACCATCTGTCTAGTGCAGTCTTTTCCATTTTTATACCATTATATCATATTATCTTGTCTTGTCAAAACATTTGTCTCGTGTACACTGGACTGGATGTAATGATGGATTTGTACCCTGTGTGTGACAAATACTGCCTTTTCGAAAAGAAAGATTTCCGATTTATTTTTATTGGCTGACAAATTGTTAATACTCATAAACCTGTTGAAAAAGTATGAATATACATGAGTATTGTATGACTGTCATGCAAAACAGGATTTATCAAGCTGTTGGATATGATGGCACACTAGGACTAGCTTCATAGTATGAAGGTATTTAGAAAACTAAATTTCATTACTGGGAAGTCTGGAGAAAGTAGAAGGTGCATTGGGTACCAAGAATAAATAATTAGTAGTTGGCTGAGTCAAATAATGTGATAAAATTGGGTTAAAACTGTTCAGAATTATTAAAAATTCAATGCCACTCAGAAGATGAGAAATTAGCAGATTTGGAAAGATAAGACAAATACCTTCAGCATGAGAAAAATTTACTAAAATTTGTACCAATGCAGAATAGACAAATAAATACATAAAACTGAAATAGCAAATAAAATCCAAAGTAGTAAAATCTTAGGTGAAATGCAAAAATATAAACTGTATGCATTACATTATGAAAGGTCCTACTGATTCAATAAAGAGGAGCAACTAATATTTTATGTCATGAAATTGTGATTATAATTATTGAGATAGTTTATAAATAAAACAATTGTGCTTTGCTGTTATAGACAATGGAAAATTGAAAGGTAACCCTGTCTTTATTAAGAATTTCTTAGCTAAAGACCTGCGAGGAGTTGACAATATTGCAAGTGACTGCAGTAGTGCATAATTTTTCATATAGCTTGTGTAACTATATCTTGATAATATCTGAGTTTAAATCCTGATGCAGTAGATAATTGAAGATAAATTAAAATATTAAATATTATCCAGGGAAATTTATTTTAAAGTTTATGAAATTAACCATGTTCAGCTTGGCGCATGTAATCTATGCTAGCAAGGCATACATAATATTGTCCTGATATCGAGAAGATAAATGAATTTTTTATGCAATATGAGATTGGAATGGGAGTAGAAGTATAATGGAAGAAATCTCAGTACGAATGGCATAGACGTTTTGCATGTATTGTTAGTATGGTCTTTCCAAATAAGATTATATTTAATCATAATGCTGAAATAGTAATTTATCTTTACTGTGGGAACATCAGTATTACAAAAGTAATAGTTCTTGCCTTGAATTCTTTTCCTGTTTGGTGAAAGAGGGATGAGATTTTTCTTATGTTATTGCTAACTCTTGATTTACAACACCAAAGTTCAGTCTCTACCCAAAAGTTTTTGATGCATGGCTTGGCATTTGCTGATTTACTTGCATGCTTAGCATTTCTGATTTAAATGCAATTGTTTTATTATCAATAGAACATTCAATTAGCAAATTAACATCATAGTTCATGTATTTGGGAACTCCATTATATAAAAAAGATATGATTTGATGCGGAATAGATCCTTGGAGTGCCTCAACATGGATATTTTAGATGTAAGCAGCATTGACTTTTGATAAAGAAATCTTCCAATAAGATAATTTCTTGATTTATTCCTAGAAAAGTACTGCTGATAAATGTTCTGTAAGCTCTTCGATTTATTTTTCAAATTATAATGACAGTTGTTTAGCCAGTTGTTATAATTA